TTTCAATTGGAATGACAATTTCTAATGGTTTCGGCATCTACTGAAGCACAAGGTCCATAAACACCGTACCACTATATCTGCCCTTATACCACGGATGCTAGCTGATCACACTCCTGCAGTGTCATGTGTTGTGCCATTCTAGACTGAACACGTCACTCTGAAATAAAATAAAAACAGAAATTAGCAATGAAATTCTACTACTTTAGGGGTCACAATATATTTTGTTTCATGCAGATGTGGTGATTTTAACAAAACTTATAAGTAATTTTCAATAGGGAATTTCTTTCCTGTATTTAATTTCATCTTATTTCTGGTGCTTTTTATTGCAACTTTCAAAACGTCATTCTATGATTGTTAGTAAACAGCATTGCTCAGAAATAAAGAAACTACTACTTTTCATCTTTTTAGTGAAGAAGCTGCTAAAGATTATATTTAAATGAAATTAATTCATAATGATACTTCATAAAATAAAAATCATCCAAATCTGACTGACCTGATTTTTAGAACTATAGTGACTGCATATTTTTGTAAATTACAAAGATATGAAAATTTGCAGCCTTTATTTTTGTGCAGTTGTTGTGTTTGATACTGTTTTATGCTTATTTTAGTTTTTTTTTCTTTTCTAAGCATTAACTGTGATTGGAGTTGTAAAATCTTTTTTGTGCATGTACCTTCTTCCTTTTCTTGTTTCTTTTTCTTTCCTTCTCTCAGCATGTCATCCATGTTACTTTGGTAGCCTTCATGCCTAATTATGTGACGGCCTTCTTCTTTAGTCTCATTCTTTCCTGTCCACATTTCTTCTAACCTATCTATTCCTTCCTCAGCATGTTTCAGTTTTATTTTTGTTTTTTTTGCCTCTTCCAAATGTCTTTCTTTAGCTCTGATATCTTCTACATCCGAGCCATCCTCGTCAACTTTGTGTTCACATTCCAACAACCAGTCCTAATGAGCTGATTTGTTTCACTTATCACACAATGATTCGTTTGCTCATTCTCTCTTCCCGCTTTTTTTTTTTTTTTTTGTAAATTTCCATCCCCACTTTTTTCTTTTTTTTTTTTTTTTTTTTTTTTTTTTGCAGATGTCTTTGTTGTCATTTCTCTTTTTATAAATATATATATATTTTTTAGTCATTTTTACTGTTTTCATTTTCCTTCATTATCTTTCTTTTTATCAGTTCTTTTATTTTTCCTTTATTTATTTTTTAAAATTCTTTCACGTTCTGGTTTTTGCTTTATATTTTCCATACATTTTTTCTTTCCCTCATTCAGTTTTATTTTTAGTTCTTTTCTTTCATTTTTTTTTTTATTTCTTCCCTTTTCATTTCATTTTTCTTTTCTTTTTTTTTTTTTTTACTTTTCTCTTCGCTTTAACCTTCTCTGATTCTTTTTTTCTCCTGTGATTATTTCATTCATTCGTATACATTTTTACCATTTTTATCACTTCTTCTTTTCTTTCATTCATCTATGATCTCATCTATTCCCTTGTGTTTCATTATATATCTTTCATTTTTACACCACCAAATGCAATGCAAGTCTCAAATGTCTCTTTTGGGACTATCTTTGAATTCTCTTCTTTTCTCTCTTCCCTTGTTCCATTTCTCTTGTGTCTTGGCAACATTATCAGATTCAATTTCCAATTTATTTGCACATTTTCATTTTTTTCCATTTTTACCTTCTTTCATGTCATACTAGTTTTTTTTCTTTAGAGAATCAATTTTTAAAAAATGCCTTTTTAAAAAACTGTTCCTAACCATTTGCTTTTTTATATCAGGATCTATGTTTATGGCAACAACTTAAAGTACTATTAAGTTTGCTTTCTTCAAAAACATTTATGACATGTTACTTTAATGTAAAAGCAATTTTTATGAAGTTGTTGGTAAATGTTGCTTTATAAATTATAATAGCTTACATATCTTTTGCTTTTATGAAAAACATATATTTAAAAAATATCGTTAAGCACCAAATTTGAAATGTTTTTAAAAAACTGCAGTAGCTGGAAATAATCATAGGAAAAAATGTCATTACTCCAACTTGAAGGGAGAAAAATATATGAGAAAGTGAGTAGTATTTTTACTTAAAATCAATAAAGTCATATTTAATTTATAAGAAAATAAGTAATATTTTTATAAACTAAATGCTGACAATGTTTTTAATTTGCAGTAATCCAAGTAATATTTTAACAACCTAAATTAATTAAAATATATAAATTGATGTAATATCTTAACAAATTAAAGTATTAGTAATTTCATTATTATAAATATGAATTTTATTTTGCTTATATATATTAACTAAATTATTATTAAAACTATTTTACATCTGTCTATATTTCTGAGATGAAGTATTGTAACTATTTGCACTATTTGGACTGTTGTCCTTAGGGACACATGACCCAGTGGATAAAGGCATTGGTTGAAGTAATCCAGTGACTTGACACAAAGAGTTGCAAGTCCATACCTGGCCAGAGCAAAGGTAAACAAAAACTTGGAGAGTTGAGTTACTAAAGGGAAATAACTGAAACCTGAGACATCCAGAAAAGGTATGGCATGTGGAACTAGAACAATCTACCCTGGTGGTTTAAATAAAGTATTCAGTTTGAAATTCCAATGTATATCACCTGAAGAAGGCCAGAGCATGCAATAGCCTGAAATGACATGACTACAACAATAAAGATGAGGACAACAGTCTGAACAATATAGTGTAAATACTTATCTTGAATGTAAATGTTACCTATTTTTATTATAACTTTTTCCCTACCCATATACAAAAATTATGACTATTTCTTAATGACTACCCCCAAAAATATATATTATGACATATCGACCACAGCATGATTACTAACAACCAAAACCACAACATATGTCTGCAAATAAGCATTGGATTAATGTCTACATCTTTGTTATTTATGCCATCAATACATTAGCTCAATGAAACCAAAGTGGCACCCAGATAATAATTTTGATATTTAGATATTTGAATAATAGTGTTAAGAATATAAATTTAACTTAAATTAAAAAAAATAATTTGTAATTTATTGTTGTAACCTCGGTAAGGTTACTGAATAGAATAGTCAAATGAAGGTTGGCAATGAACGATAATACTTAGGTCAAGAACAACACATATTAGATTCACCAGCAGTGTGTAGAAGAAGTAGTCAACTGCTAGAAGTGAGTTAAGTGAATTCCACAATGAATCTCCAACTGCAGAGCAACATACAGTATTTATATGAATGGGGACATACTCATTATCATCTGTAGGTATGCTACAACATTTACAATCTTGAGTTTTAATTTCTGATTCTGATAATAAACATTTTAAATTTCTCAGGCACATAATGAGAAAAGATGGCTTGGAGAATATGACACTCACAGAAAAGGGAGAGAGGGGAGCAGTGAATAAGCTATCTAATGAACTTGTGTAAATGGTTGGCAGAACAGGGACTAGAAGAGATAGTGAAAAAAGAAACCTTACTAAGAGATAAAAAGAACAAGAAGTTGTGGAGAGCCATGATCGTCCATGCCCTGAATGGAAATGGCACACAGAAAAAGAAGTTTGAATTTCTTGAAGAGAAAAATGGCAATAAAACAATCTTATTTTCAAATTAGAAACTTATTAGACAACTGGAAAGGATCAGTATAAAAATAAGAAATTATATGTATGTATGTGACAAAGTGGAAAATATTTTTCTTTTGACATAAAAAACTTTTACACTTTTGTTCGGATTCTGTAACATACTAACATGCATGCATGCATATATATATATATATATATATATATATATAAGGAAATGTATTAAATCTGACAGATTTTTAATTTAATGGTTTAATAGGTATTTCTTAAATGGATACTCATATTTGAGTAGATGGTCTGTTTTTATATATTTATTAAACAGTATATTTATTTATTTCCATCTACCAGCCTGAAAATTTTGAGAAATCTTGTTAGAAAAATATGTGTCCTTCGGCAGGATTCAAAACTGCGTCACCTGGGGGAAATTGTCATTAGATCTGACGCAGCCTTAGAACAATTCAGCCACGTAGGACCTAAATTAATATATATATATATATATATATATATATATATATATACACATACACACACTCACACACTAAAGTTCTAATAATGACAGAGATTAGGTAATTAGGTTTGCATCAAAATCAGAGGAGAATTGTTAGAAGCTGCTTAGGCAGTAATTAGAAAAGTAATTAAACAGGATTTAAAAACATTCCACTAAGTAATAAATAAAATGTCTGAAATGAAGATATTAGGATACATTAAGATAATTATATGGGGAGTGAGGAATGCTTAGATTGAAAAAATGATTATGAATCCATTTCATAATTATATTAATTGTTAAAAAAAATATGGCCCAAATTCTCAGATCAGGATAAAGCAGTTTTATGTTGAGAAATAAGTTTGATCGTAAGATTGATTACGTTAAGCAAATCACTTAAATACTTTCAAGAGCAGCAATAACTAAAATAGATACCACATACAGGGGAAATATTTTGTTTGATTCATTCATTTTCCATGGTTTACCAACCCTTTTGCAAGTTATTTAAAGCAAGAACATTTTTTTTTTAGATTATAAAAACTTTTTGGGGAGATAATGATTTACTGGTACAAGTCTTACTAATTAACCCATAGCTAGGTATTCAATGAAATTATATATATATATACATATATATATATATATATATATATATATATATATATATATATATGTGTGTGTGTGTGATGAAAAATGGAAAATATTTTATTGACATAAAAAAGCTTTTCTATTTTTATTATGATTCTGTAATCTACTAATATATATATATATATATATATATATATATATATATATATATATATATATATAAACACAAACACACACAGTAGATTCATACCTTTCACAAGAGTATTTGTGCATAAGTGAATATAACAAACCCAACTGAATTGAACTCAGCTCTCCCTGATTAACAATTCTGAGCCATTATCCATTACACCAACCATACATCCAAGCTTACAGCACCTGGTATTCCCAAGTGGTTGCCCATCTAGCTACTGACATGGCCTGACATTGCTTAACTTCAGTGATCGTACCAGAACAAGTGTTTCAATGTGATGTGGCTGTAAGCCAATAATTATATAATCAAGATGATGACTTTCCACACTACCTTAAACAAAAACTTAAGAAAGAGGCTGCCATCACTTCTAACAAGTTTACTTAGGTGACTCGAGATGTCTGATTTCTTTAAAAAGTGTCTAAAAAAATTTTTTTTTGTTTGAAAACTACTAAAGTTTGCTGGATGCTGGATTTAAAATTAGCTCACTCCAAATCAATCTCTTATTTTTTCTCTATTAGTTTGTATACCAGATTGTGCTATTTTGCCCAACCTGAGATTGACCAGGCTCACGTACAGTATCACTGATCATGCAAGTGTCTGCAATCTATGATATGGGGCTTCCACTCTACTACATTCTCAATTTTCATAAGGTAGTATTCATATAAAAGACAAATTTTATTTCAACCTAATTATGCACAATAATGGATCATATGCAATATAGGTGAACAATTCAATGAGAAAAATTGAAAATAAATGCAGTGTATCTAAATGTAAATTAGAAGCATATCATAATAGATTATTTCATCTTAAATAAATCAACAATGTTTTGCAGCAATTTTGAATATAACCTTGAAATCTTCCTTGTGAAAAAGTTGAATAATTTCATCACATTTAACATTATGGATAAAAATTAATGAATTTTATATTGTTTTTTTTTCAAGACTTCTCATGAATAAAACAAATTCACAGATTTGGACAAAAAAAAGAAAGGCCTCTGACTGATATCAAAATCTGTTAAGATTTTTCATCCTTTCATAGTCAGTTGTGATGAGTTTAATTTGTAATGCATATAGATGTAGGTAAAAAAGAAAAAAGATAGCAAGGTTCACAAAGCATTGACCAGGGTTCCCAATCAGGTTGGGTGTAGTATGCACCAGCCCTGACTGATCATCACCGAAGTGATAGTAGCACAATGCAGTATATGCTTTTCCACTTTGTCTTATTATCTGCATTTTTGTTCTGATCCTATTCTACAGCCTACTAACACCTGTTCAGTCAATCTAATATACTGCATATACTCGTGTATCATACAGCCTTTGAAGACCTAATTTTGAAGCTAATTTGACTGTAATAAATGGATATATAGTTTGGTCAAGAGAATAGCCAAGGCCAACAATACATATGCTAATTTTATATCTCATGTATGATGCAAACCCCTTAAAATTAACTTCAAAATTAGGTCTTCAGAAGTCACATAATATGCGAGTATATATATATGGTATCTTAAAATAAAATTGTCTTTATAATAATGAAATATTTTAATAAACTAGGCATTGAGGATAAAATCAAATTTAAATTAGTGATAAAAGTAATATTTTAATATACTTGTTTATTAAAAAATTAGTTATTTTATTATTAAAATATTACCTATTTAAAGATACTAAATGAATTAAAATATTGATTCTTTTCTCTGACTTTTTTCCGACCCAAACAAATTGTAACTTACAATTTTGTTTCTGTTAATTTTTATCTCGTCATCAAATATATTTGTATTAAGTGCTCCAAAGCAAATTAAATATGGTAATATTAGCTGTTTCCTTGCAAGTAAACAGTTGGAATTCAATGACTGAGTAGCCAGTACTGTTTTAGGTTGAGATTTATAAAATTTATCCATTAAAACACTTTTTTAGAAAACAGGTTTCTCAAGTCCAGTAGCTTTTATCGCTCTTCCCAGTATTGATGGGGGTTTCCTTCCTAACCTTCTGTTTGAAGTAGTGTGGAACGTTAAAATGTTGATTATATCATTATTTTCTTTGAGTTACATGTGCTATCCATTTAGTTGTTGCTGCTGTTGGTAGTCCTCAAGTGATTTGGTTTCTTTTATTTGGTACAGTTTTTTGTGATTCTGTAGTGCCAGTCCACAATACTCAAAGAAGGATGATCTTTGCCAAGATCATCAAACTTCACTCACTCAAAGCCCTTTTTCACCATTGATCTTAAAATGCGGTTATATACAGCTGACAGTTTAGATATTTCTGGATGGTTTTGGTGCCATGCATGTTATCCATGTGAAAGTCTCGATTTGACAAGACTATTTAAGAACAGGACTTGAGTTTTCAGGTTGATGTTTTGGTTTTGTAGCAATTTGCAGCGTTGGGTGAAACTATCTCAAGTGCAACCTATATTGTATTCAGTTTCTTTTTCTCCTATACTTAATATATTTTATCTTAAGAATTATAATAATAATTGAAATTTGAAAGATTTTTTTTTAAAAACTTCATTTTATGCAGAAGAATGCTCAGATTTTCCTTCTCCACTGTAAAGAACCTTCTTTTAAAATGTGAAAAAAATATGCCAAGTTGGGAATCAAATTGGCACACATATAAGTGAATATAGTGGAAAAGCTATAAATGAAGCATTTTTGTCAAAAGCAAATGTCTGCTGTGTTAGGCTTCTTCAGGTTAGAATGAAAGACAAAACTGTATATAAGGAAAAATGTGTTGTGTTCTTGGAGGATAAGAGGTTACAATAAATTATATTATCTTATCAGATCCGATGATCAGAAACCAGAAAGTCTGTCTGGCTGTTTGTTTTTATACACACACACACATACATACATACATATATGATTAATACACATAAAATAGAATTTGTCACTGATTGATATATTCAACATCTCGAGTTTGGAGTTTCATGGACGTACCTATTTATAATTGTTCTGTCCATTCGTCAGGAGGTATCAGCAATTGACAGCAGATTTTCTCATTTTTGTTATTTTTATATTATTTTAATTTATACACTAGTTATTGGTATTAGGTTGATTTTTTTTTCTCTTTGTGTGTGCATGTGTGTATGCATCTTGGCTTCACTAATTTTCCCATAACTGTAACATAGTTTCCCTGTGCCTTTTGTATAAATACTTTTATGGCAATTGTTCTAGCAAGCTTTCCTCTATGGTATAGAGACTTTGAGGTATTATGGTATCTGTAGTAAGAATTGTATGTGAGAATATGTTGTTTTGGTGTAAGGAATACTATAGTATGTTAGGGTAGGTAATCATGGCTAGCTAAGTTTAAGATAAGACAGATTGAAGGTGAACCTTCTCTTATCCCTCATTTTGGCCTTGTGCCACATTTTTGTATGTTTCAAAATAAGTATCACTTTCCTCTATGACACATAGACTTTATAAATTTAAGAGCAGTACTAGATTTGCAGCAAAATCTCATCATTTTCCAGTTGAAATGGCTAGATGTAACCATAAGTTCTATGGTAACAGTTTCATCTATCGCACTTCTCATTTGTGAAACTCTTTTTCAGTTTCTTGCTTCCTAGTCAACATTGATCTTCGAAAATTTAAATGTAATATCAATTGTTATCTTCTGTATTCTTAATTCTTGTTCTTTTAATATTTTTTCTTCTTAACCCCTTCTCTGACATAGACGTGTATATATGGTTTAACTGAAAGTGTCTTTATCAGGCACAGATGAATAAATACGTTCAAAATCTAGCTACATATGTGTTTATATATTAATCTTGATTCTTTTTATGTCTTTCTGAGCTTGAAAGAGTCCAATTGTCAACTCATATGTCTGCTAGAGGTGTTAGCTACTGCTCAGGTACTTCAAAGTGTCTCACTTTCTTAGTCTTCCCAAACAAATAAAAAAATTTATCTGAAAATGTTTTTATCAAAATAATTGGTGGAAGAAGTGTTTAATAGCATTTTTCTTTTCTTTTTTTTTCACATACTCTCTAACACTCCCCTGTGTCTTAGTGGCTTTATAGCCTTGCTTGTGGGGAAATGATTAAAAAAAAAAAGTTGTAATCAGAAGTACAATTCCTTCCTTTTGATGAAATGAATTGAGAAAGACTAGTGCAGAATTACTCTCCCTTTTCATTTCCTGGCCACTGCTTATGTTGATTAACAATACTTCAAGATGCTTGCAAAAGGAAATGGGATATTTAAGTTGATTCTTTTCTGAAGAACATTAATGTACAATCTGGCTGTGATCTGTTGGTCGGAATATCGGAAAGGGCTTACATATAAGCAATTTTTATAATAAATATTTTCATTTATATTTATTAGCTTGAGGCCTGTTCCCAGGGCAGGATTTTAACTAATTCCTGAAGAAGGCCTAAATACAACTTTTGGCCCCACTAAGATATCATGTATTTGATCTTTGGATTATTGATTGAATCATATCTTGTTCAAATATCACTGTCATCATACTTATTATATATAAGCTGACTTAATGTAGAATGCAACCCTTGAATTTTTTTTTTTTTGCATGAATTTTAACCCCACCTCCCACAGGAAAGACTTACCTGTATCTAGTGCAATTGGTCACTGAAAATACATAATTTTTAACTTCTTCAAAAAATTACCTGTGTATAGTGTAACCCCCTATTTTTTGCATAAAAAAACTGATCATAATTTTTTTGCTCTGTACTCTAGCATGTACAATAGTCAGATATATTTAATATTTTGCTTGTCACAAAGAATTTATTTTTTTAAAAAAAGTATGTTGTCTTTTTCTTTATTTAAAAAAAAAAAACATATGGATATTTCAAACTTAGTTACCTCCATTGAGATTTCAAATGTGAAATTTAAATTGTACAGTACATCACCTTAGCATTTTTCACTTCAGTAAAAATAATTCAACTTTCAGATGAACAGAGCAATTTTGTCTTAGAAAAAACAACACCCTGATAATGACATTGTGCTAATGTCAAAAGTACTTGGAATAAATGAATATGTATCAACATGGTAATTTTCTCTCTTCCTTTAATAAATATACTAAGAAGCTTGCACATGAATATGAGAGGTACCTATTGAAAATAAGTATACAAAACTTGTCTAAATTATTCAATGAGACATGTCTTAAATACATGTGTGCTAAAAATAAAAATAACATGTAGAGCTGATCTCCTAATTTTTAAAGTATATATATATAGTAAATGTAATAAATCTGTTGGTATATAATCCAAGTGGATCCTAGTAATATGAAATATTAAAACTGATCCACAAAAAGAGCTCAATGTATTTATCATTACAGAGCAAATAAATAAC